AGTTTCCCTGAGCAAGTCAAAGTCTCTTTTCTGAAATCCAGGGTCCTTACTGTGCTGCTCTCCTTCCTTCCCTCAGGATCATGAACTCAGTCATCTTGTAGTCGCTACTACCCAAGTTGCCATCCACTACTACATTCCCCACCAATTCTTCCCCTCTTGCGAGCAGCTGGTCAGAGAGAGTATGGCCCCTAGTTAGCCACTCCAGCACTTGCACCAGGAAGTTGTTCCCACCACTCTCCAAAAACCTCCTGGATTGCCTGTACACTGCTGTGCTCAATCACCTTGACATCTACCGGGAGAGCAAGTCCCCCATGAGAACCAGGGCCTGAGATTTAGAAACTTCTGCTAGCCATTTGAACCTCAACCTCATCTTCCTGGTCTGGTGATCTACAGCAGACCCCCACTACAACATCACCCTTGTTGCTCTCCCCTCCGACCTGAACCAAGACACTTTGAACAGGTCTATCCCATTTCACACTGGAGCTTTGAGCAACTGTACAGCTCTTTTATATCAAGTGCAACTCCTTCCTGAACAGTTTATACATACCCATAACAGCGCTCCAGTCATGAGAGCTACCTCCCTGCTTGTTTCTCAGGCTCCCTGTATTTGGATACAGACACCCGAATTAACTAGACAACTGCCCTACTTTCTGTGGAAGAATGGGAACACCTCCCCTGTTGCTCCCTCCTGCTTGTGCTTCATCCAGATCACCCACTTCCCCATGGCTTTGCTTCATCCCCCAGCAAATCTAGTTTAAAACCATCCTCACTAGGTTTGCAAGCCTGTCTATGAATATCAATGGTGATGCATAGGGGTGCACAGGGGTGCACGTGCACCCTGAGAGCCAAGAGTGCCAGTGCACCCCCTGACAGACCACATTCTCCACTTACGCAACAGGCAGGGGGCAGGCGGGAGTGCCGGTACCCCCGCGGAGAGTGCTGGGTGGGAAGTGAGAGCACTCCCCTCCCCCAGTGGGCAGGATTGGGGGTGCCCCCCCGTCACTGAGGGGAGGGGGGGGGATGTTCCCCCCTGACTAAGGTGGCACCAGTTGCCCATAACAAAGATGCTCTTCTCTCTCTTCATCAGGTGCATGCTGCCTCCTCCTAGCAATCCTTCTTCTTCAAACAACATCCCATGGTCAAAGAAGCCAGAGCCTTGCTGGTGACACCATCTGCACAGCCATTCATTGATCCACAGAACGCGTCTGTTCCTGCCCAGGCCTTCCCCTCAACTGGAAGGATTGATGAGCACACCTGAACCCCTGTGCTTTTCACCCTTGCACATAGCGCCTGGCAGTCTCATTTAATTGGCTCAGGGTCATTCACCCCTGGCAGCATCACTGGTGACCCCGTGGGCACCACAGGATAGTAGTCAGAGGGCTGAATGAGTCTCAGTAATCCCTCTGTGACATATTGGATCCAGGTACTGGGCAAGTAGTAGACCTCCTGAAACAACAAGTCAGGCCAGCAGAAGGCCTCCATCCCCTGCAGAAGGGAGTCTCCAGCCACCACCACCTGTTGCTTCTTAGTGGCAGTGGTCTCAATCCTTCCAACCTTGGGGCCTGACCCATCTTCCTTTACCAATGGAACATGCTCCTCTGTTGCTACAGCTCCATATCTGTTCTTCAGGCAAACCGCTGCAGGTGGAGATTATGATTTCTGCCAGAGGTCAAACTTCCACCTTCTTGGGAGTCCACATAATTTTTTTTTCCCCTCTAGCACTGCCTCTGGCAGTCCTTCCTCCACAGATGGTACTTGAAGGATATTGCTCTTATGGAACAATTCCTTAGGTACATAAGACCCAGGCCATTTAATACACAGTATTAAAATCTGCCTGCTTGAATATCAAAGTTTGAATGGGGTTATACTGCAGTTTAGGAGAGAGCATGTGATAATGTAATTAAAGGCAATGAGAAGCTTTCAAAGGCACAAAGGGCAATTAGTCACTCTGGTTCCTATTGATTCAGTTGGGACTGTGCCTTTTCACAACTATATCTGCACTATGCAGTGTTTGAGTAAGCTATTTAATTAAAAAAAGCAAGTTCCCAATAATTCAGAAAGGGTATGATTTTGCTCTGCCTACTGTGGTCAGTGAACATTATCCTGAGATTACAAGAGGAAACTTGAACTCGGGGCTTCTGGATAGTGAGTTTGTTGCTACTATTACAAGGAGTCTTGTTAAGCCATTGATTTCATGGTATTGCCTAGGACAGTCACCATCTCTGCTGACCATCTACAAAATAAGTATACTAGCTACATGCCAAAGAGACACCATGAGAGTTTACTGATGTTTGTAAACCACTTGGCATTCTCAGCTCAGAGGCGTTATATTTCTTGATTTGATTGACTGTAACCTGGTAGAATTAACACTTAGTATCAGATTCAGTATAATATTTAAGAGAAGAAAGTGGGGAAAATACAAACAAGCAAACAAAACATGCACAGATAAATATTTTATAGCTATCCAAAATAGTTTGGCCAAAATAGTAACCACCTCCCTCCCCTCCCACCCCCCACCGCCCCCACCAGAGGGAAAAAAAGGAGAGAGATTTTTTTTTGTACAGAGGGCATTCTCCAGAACTAGTTATTTTTAGGTCACTTATACCCAATATTTAAAAATTCAGAAAGATGTTCTCTTTTGCTTTTCCCTACTAAAAATAATAAGGGGGAAAAAAACAAAAATAAATCACAGGTTAGGGACTGGGTCTTTGAAGATTGTCAGTCTAAGAGGTATGGAGTACTGTCAGCAGTTTTCAACCTTAATATTTTCTTTGAAGAACAATGAAAGCTTGATCTCCCTTTCTGATCACAGCAAATTTTGAAAGTCTCTTTTGATCATCTTCGACTGTACCAGTTAAACAGTTATTTAGAATTATTCCATCAGATTCAGTCTGCTACCTGAAGTTTTCCTTTTATTTCTATTATGCAGAAACAACAGGAATCTTTAGTTCTAGAGTATTTTCACATTAGAGTCTGCATTGTCATGCAGGACACCAAAGATTCAATTGACTCCGAATATAGGTTTAAGTAAATAGGGTACCCAAGACAAGTCCCCCTCCCCCACCCTCATCTTGGATCCAATTACATGGCAAGGATTGGAGTATGAGGCTAACCCTGTCCCTTCTAGCCCATATATGGTTTCCTACTGTCACACCCTCCCCCTACAACCCCTCCCCATTTACCCTCTGGTTCTGGCAGGCTCTAGCGGTGCTCTAGGTTGGGGCACAGAGCACATCCTTGCTCCAGCTCCAGCTCCAGCCCCAGCCTGGCTGGGTAACAGCCAATACAGTGGTGGCAGCTCCACCCTTACCTGCCACCAGTGCTGCTGCACCTACCACAGGGGTGGGCAGAAAAAAGAAGACAGGTGACAGGGGGTGCAGGCATGGGAAGGCAAATAGCAGGGGAAGAAAATGGTGGGAAGGCTGCAAAGGGCAAGGGGGTCAGGCTGCTTGACCCCCTGCCCCAATACCCAACCCACACCTCCCAACCACCTCCCCCCACCACTGCTTTCCCCACTGTAGTATTTGGGTGAGGGAGGGGCACATTTAAAGTGATCCCCCAATAATTAGATTCTACACAAGGAAAGTTATAACAAACTTATACATTTTCCATATTAGAATCTAGTTACTGGGTGGGGGGAGCGCTCTTCTTGGATTTAAGTAAACACAGTATATTTGTTCTAAAAGCCTTAAAACACTACCAAGTTCTGCAAAAATCAACTGACTGAATTAAAATGTTTTTCATTACAGAACCATCATATTTTGCAGGGGTTTCTCCATTAAAAAAAAAAAAATCAATCTATCTATCCATCCATCCCTTCAATTTTAAGTAAGGGAAGAAAAAGATGTATTGCCCTGTGCCGGGGCCCAGGGGCAGCCATGACACCCCCTGGTATGCCCAGAGCTCCTGCCACACTCCGGCCCATTGGGGTACTCTCCTTTTTCTTCTCACCTGCCACACCTCGATGCAGTTATTTTATTGTAAAATAGAAGGCTGTTCCAGGGTCCCAGAGTAAGCCCTAACCCATTTTGACCTGCAGGTCCCTCCCATATCCAATGGCTCTACTCTTGTCCCTCAAGCACTAAGTAAGGAGCCTTCCTAGGCCCAGTAAGGCCTCAGAAGAACCAGTTGCCTTAGGGGCTATTCATAGTCTCTTTCTGCCTCTGTAGTCATGCCCATGGCAGACAAAAGTTACTTTCAGTTCATCCACTGGGCCTAGTCTGTTGGCCAACCAACCCACCAGCCTGCCAAGCTCCTGGCCCTAGCAAGGCTCTTCTCCCTGGACCCCCGGCCCAAGTCTGGCTTCCACCTGCTTTAGGCTTCAGCCCCTCTCCAGGCTTTAGCCCTCTTCAGCTTAAGCCTGCTCCAGCTTTGGCCTCCCTCAGGCTTTAGTCTCTCTAGTGTGGCATTAGCCTTGCACCCTCTAGGCCCCAGCCCCATATAGCTGCTGTGCTCTATCCCAGCCCTCAGGGACCCTGGCCCCAGGCCAGACAGCTCTCCCACTGGCTTTGGCTCTCCCAGTCTCAGCCTGCACCAGCCTCACCCCGCTACATTGCTGACCCCACATTAGGCCACTTCCACTAACCTTAGCTCTCCCCACCTCGGCCTGCACCAACCCACAACTCTCTGGGTCTCTGACCCCAGATTAGGTTGCCTGACAGCAAGCATCCCACAAAACACCCCTCTATAGCCTCCATTATCTCCCCTGTAACTACAACCTGGTTCCCTGTTTAGCTGAACTAAAACATAAATACAGATGCAAGCACAACAGCTATACAACATAAACCCTCCCCACACTGAGCTATAACTTTTCTGCCAGCTATAAGTCCCCCTTACCTCCTTTCAGGGACACTTTAGGTACCAATCAGCCCCTTCCCCATGCTCAGAAACTCTTCTCTCTGCTGTCTACAGGCCCAAACTGACCACTTGGGCTCAGGCACTGGGCTTACCTGCCTCCAGTGCCCCACCCCTTCCTGTTAGGTGGCTCTTCAGCTACTCACATGGGTTTCCTTTTGGGCTTGATGATCACCTTGTCTTTAGCTGCTCTAGTTCTTTGCTCCTAGGTTTCCCAGATGTCTGCCCCCTTGTATAGCTTACTGCTTTGCACCTAGCTCCTGGAATAGTTACTCCCGAAGGGTAGTCCCTATCCCCATGGTTTCTGGCCTGCTTACTTCCTGGCAGCTAGTCTTTACCCAGCTGGCAGGCCCAGACAGCAAGCTTGGCTTGCTGCAGCATCCCCTTAAAGTAACAGAAGCCTCTGGCTCCCTGTTACATGCCCATTTTAGCAATTTGATCAAAATGAGAAAGCTGTGAGCAAATTTCAGTAGACTAGATAGTCAAAACTTCCCAAGCATCAAGAAATTCTAAACCACAGGAACTCTTTATAGTCTCTTTTGCAAAAGGAGCAAGAAGTGGGTAAGATAGTAACCATCCTAGCTTGTCTTTCCGAATCAGTCTTTCATGCTGTTTGCTTCAATTCAGAGATAATGCATCTTAAATGGTGCTAACACTTGTCATATATCTTTTGTTTCAATCTGAAATAACTGTAATTGAATACGACAGCCAGGAAAACTGATGCAGCAGCACTGTCGGAAAGCATTACTTGGGAGTAACATTTGACAAGAAAATACATATGGCAAGACTGCTTAACTTACAATTCAAGGGTACATGAACATTTCTGTGCAGGGGTCCATAATGGATGCTCTGGTGAACAAAGTGGAGAAGATTGCCATTTTTCTTATCTTCCTCGTCAACTGACAAAACAAGCCTGTTTCTAGCAAAAATCTTTGAATCAGTTGCTGTGAATGCATGATAAGGCTTGCCCCTTAAACATAATTTTAAATATAGTTCCTTGCTCTTTGCAAGTTAAAATAACCTTTTGGATTGATTGTTTTTGATTTCTGTTGCCTTACATATGAAGATCAGGTGAGATGCCCTAGGGAGGAAAATCTAATTTTGGACTTTGGGTTTATAGGTTGTAGTTATACCAAAGGCCTCAGTTTCACCAGCTGAGAGAGATTCTGTGAGAATCTAAAAGATGACATCTTACATAAAGGACAAGCATCATGCAGTATTAGAAAATAATACCTAAAATACTCTCATAGGGATAGACAAATGATTGAGTAAATACCTTGAAGAACAGAAGTGATAAGAGGGGTGAAACAAGCTGTTTTGCAATAATTATAAGGGAAAAGGAAGAGGGAAAACACTCTGCAGATGGGGAACAGTTTTAATAACACAGCACTCAATTCCAAATAATTTTATTGTTCACAGACTGATTTTTAACTCGCCGAGACCACGATAATAATCATATTATGTTTAAAAAGGGATGCATACATTCTCATGCTTCTGGCTAAATCAGGCATCAGTTGGCAGAGGTTAGGAAGAAATATCTGCTGGATAGAAAAGCATTCTCATAGCTTATGGCAATCGACTGGTATATTTGAGATACAGGTTATTTTCCTGTTAGTTTAGGCACACTGGGTTGGATCTGGATTGGCTTTGTAAATATTTAGGCTTCTGGGTATCTAAAAATACCCTGAGAGACCCTGCCAATGCCTGAAGAAGGGTGTTTGTGCCCCAAAGCTTGCAAAGAAGTTTTTTACAACTATTTTAGTTGGTCTAATAAAAGATATCACATCTACCCAAAGAACCTTGCATGCCTTGGCTCAAGAAGGTGATTCAGATTGGCAGGATCAATTGCCTAGGACCACTTTAGTGACAATGGAGAGAATTAGGCACTGAGTATGGAAGTGCCTAGAGCAGGACAATTTAAAACACTAGGCACAGAACAAGGTCTGAAATCCCATGCATCTTTGGAGCTTAAGCTGCTTGTTGGGAACCTCTATCAACTCATTAACCTAAGTGCTTAGGATTTTAGCTTCCATTAGCTCCTTTGAAGATGCTAGAGTAGGTGGGAAGCTCTTTTCAGGCAGGGATCAAATTTTATTATGTGCATGTACAGTGCTTCACACAAGGAAACCCTGGCCTTGTGCTTCACACAAGGAAATCTTTGTGGAAGCCCTCATGTATTGCTGTAGTAGTATAAGTATTTATAAAACCAAGCTACTGAAAAAACATCTAGGAAAACAATTTAGCCTGTTATCTGAAGTTTATATTTTACTTCTGTCATGTTGAAATTTGAGGAATCTTCAAGTAAAAGGTATGTTTATGTTACAGTTTGCAATTTCAAGCAGGGCACTACAGGTTCAATTAACTCCACTGCTTGTTAGAACCAACTCAGGATGCTATACAGCAAGGAAATTACTGTTGTAATTTCATGAAGCAGTGGATTTAGTGCTTAGTAGGTGTAGCATAGCAGAAAAATATATTGTTTCTGGAAGTCACTTGTATACATTTCTTTCCTAATGTTGATTAATTAACATAACAAAAATAATAAACTCTACTTTCAAAAGTGAAAAATTAGAGACTGTTTCAGTTACATACTCAAAGCTGTGGATACTTTTCCGAAGTCAATCCTTTTTTTAAAGATATAGCGGAATAAATTTCTACACAGAAAGTATAGCAGGCCATTTCCAGCCATAAGGAAACAGAAATAGCTGCCTGGTCTGAGACACTGGCATTATGACTTAAGCCAAACATACAATAATCCTTGTCATACACTCAGTTCTGTAATCTAGAGTTTCTTCTATACTGTTTATTAGCTTGCTATTCACTTTGCTAGTCTTCCATATGCCGAATGTTATGCAGATATTTACTGCAGATTGTAGTGATCATCAAGATGGACTGATCTATGAAGTAAATAATAAACCTCAATGTTCTCTAGAAACCTGGAGCTGCAGATTTTGGTGGAGAGTTGTTGGAATGAAGAAAATCAGGTGGGAGCAGTTGGCTATAGAAAGCTTGAAAGCCTGCTATTGGAGCTGAGCAAAAATGTTGAACATCCATCTCATGGGTTGGATACAGATCATCGAAGTAAATCATCTGACCTGCTGTCTTTTTCTAAGGCTTCTCATCACAGCCAAAGCCCTGGTGACACAATGGGGGTCACTGGAATGGTGGAGCACTGCAGGAATTGCCTGTTTGTGGGGTTGCATCTGAGTAGCCTTGGTCCCCTCATCAGCCTCATGCTGCTGCTGGGGAAGGTGTCTTTGCAGCCCCTACTGTAACTGCTGCTGAATTTACTGTTCCCCATTGGCTAAAGGAATTGATGACACTAGGTAATGGGGCTGAATGGTGGGAAAAACAGCTATAGTATGGGGATGACAGAGGGTCTATAATATACCCAGCAGATACTACATTAACCTCCTGGCTGCTGGCCATGCTGCCACCTCCATTCCCCAACCCCAAACCCCTCCTCCCCCACAGCAGTGGTATTCCCAGGAGCAGGATACTGACCCAGGATGCAAACCCTACCAGTTAGGCCTCTAGTTCCTACCAGTAGCCAGAGCCCTGACTCCTCCCTCTGCTCTAACTGCAGTGGCAGGACTTCTAGGGGCATCGTGGACAGGGTCCACTGCAGCTAGACTGTAATGCAGAACTCCTTTGATGTCAGGGCAGTTACAGTATAACTCTAAAATGTCAGAATCAAGGAGTTAAAACTTATATTTTCTCTGAAGTGACCAAAACGTAATGTGCCATTAATAGTAACGAAAATTCCTTACAATACTTTTGGTATCTTGATGTATTCCCTTATTCATAGGTAACTGGTAGGGGGTGCATGTGCCCCCCCTAACAGCTGACACCGAAGCTGTCGGCAGGGCTGGTGCCTCCCCTAAAAGGGCTTCTGCGGGTACCCTCCCAGATTCAGGAAGCACCAGTCACTCATGCCCTTATTAATAGATTGAAGTATCCTAATCATCATTTAAATCACCACTGGTGCTGAGAAGGTATCTTAACAATAATATTTTGACCTGAGTTGATTAAAGCAGATCTCATCTCTTAGCACACAACTTATAAATTATATTGTTCCACTTTGCACAGCTCTGCATTTATTAAAGCAAAATTCCATGCATTACCCTGTTCATTAGACCTTTTTAGTCTCCTCAGCTTACCCTTTTTACATCTTGCTTTAAAATTTTACTTTGCACTTCGATTTACGAGCAACCATGTTACAGGTTTGGTCTTCAGGGTCAGATTTGGACCACACAGCTACTCATGGGCTGGATCTGGATCAGCCTCCACCAGTAGGATGAGCCATGTCAGGAAGCCACAGAGGTTAAAGCAGCTGTTGCTCAGCCCTCCCCCTGTATGCATCCACTTCAGGGCTTTAGCCCCACAGTTTCTGCAGCGGGCCCCAGCAGTTTGATACCTCCACAGTACCTGGTGAGGGTAGTACTGAACTGTATGGAAGTACAAAGCAAGATGTAAGAAGGGAAAGCTGAAAAGACTAAAGGGTCCGCCAAAGCAGAAAGCCTGGGCAACAGGGTAACACATGGAATTTTGCTTTAATAACTGCAAAGTAGCACCAAGTGGACAACCCAATCCCTGAGCCCTCTAGGACAGTGGTTCTCAACCTTTCTTGTACCAGGACCCATTCATAAACATCAAAGACCAATCCCAACCCAGCGCCCCTCACTCCTGAGCCGATGCCCCCTGCTCCTCAGTGTGTTTGAAAGGGGGGTATATGTGGGGCAGAGGGGGGCCCCAAGCAGGCTGGAGCTCTGCCAGCCTGTAAGGGAAAGACCACACTTTCCTGTTTTTCTCCATTAAAGGAAAATCAATTTTGAAAGTTCATTTGCAATCCTTTCATATGTTCTCACAACCCACTTTTGAGTCGTGACCCACAAACTGAGAAATGCTGCTCTAGGAGTCCCGCATGCCAGATGCCACTACTGGATGTTGGTAGGATGCTACTTTGTGTAAAATATCAGTATTTTGCAATGTATGCACTGCTGGGGAGCCTCTGTCAGCCAACAGACGCCTGCATTTTACCGAGCTCCACAGAGAGGTCCCAGCCAATTTTTGTGAAGCTCCGATTAAACTGGGGCAGGCGATTTTCCCTGCACCGGCCCAAACCAAGGAAGTAGAGCCGCAATCACGCTTCAGGCCTGGGCCGACTCCCGCTCCGCCCTCCTCGCAGACCCCTCTGCCAACACAGGACAAGCGCAAGGCTCAGGCTGGCCCGGCCGCGGCGCCAGGCTTAAGACGGTAGCCTAGGCAGGCCGCAGGGCC